TCTTATTTTTGTAGATGTATAGTATTTTCCTATATATTTTAGAAATGAGTCCTTTATCTGATATGTAGTTGCAAAAGATTTTTTCTTGTCTGTGGGTTCCCTTTTTACTCTTTTGGTGAAGTCTTTTGATGCACACAAGTTTTTAATTTTTATTATGTCCCACTTATCTGTTTTGTCTATTTTTGTTTGTGTAGTTTTCAAAATGTGTAGTAGTCTGTATATGCCCTGAATTAGCACCCTCTCATTTGTCCCCTATTTTTTCATTGATGATCTTCATCATTTTGGGATTCATATTTAGATTTTTAATCCATGTTGAGTTCATTTTTGTATAGGGTGTGAGACATATCTCATTTATTTCTGATCTAATCTTTATTATTTCTTTTCTTTTGGTGGCTGTAGGGTCTGTTCATCTCATTCTAATTGTAGATGCTGTGTTCATGTGTTAATTTTGGTTCGTTTTTCTTTCTGGATGTGTGCGTTTATTGTAATAAATTGTCCTCTCAGCACCACTTTCGCCGTGTCCCAAAGATTTTGGTATATTGTGTTTTCGTTCTCATTTGTTTCTGGGAACTTTGTAAATTCACATTTAATTTCTTCTATTAAACCTGCTTTTCATCAGAGTGTTATTCAGTTCCCATGTATTTGACTTTATGTCCTTGGTCTTCCTATTGTTGATTTCTAATTTGATAGCAGTGTAGCCTTAGAAGATGCTTTGTAGTATTTTGATATTTGTAAATTTATGGAGATTTGTTTTGTGACCTAAGACATGGTCTATTCTGGAGAATGTTCCATGTGTTAGGAAATGTTTCTTCCAGAAGCTCTTCAACTATCTCCTCTGTGGGCTTGTGTGATTGTTCCTGTTCTGTAATGACAATAATTCTTAATGTTATTCCTCTTCATGTTATCCAACATGAATCTTAGGCCTTCTTCGGAATTTTTACTTCTTTTTTGTATTTGTTCTTCTATCTTAGTAGTGTTGAGAGATTTATCTTCTAGCTCACTAGTTCTAGCTTCTATCTCTTCAGTTCTATTCCTTTGCCCTTTCAATGTATTGTCCATTTCTGATATTCTATTATTAATCGTTTGGACCTCTTTCTGTAGGTTTTGAATTGTTTCCAATGCTCTATCTTACTTGATTGTTCCTGTAGCACTTTCATGACTTCTTCATTATTTTTCTCAACTGCATTGCATAGTGTTTTGATACCTTTTATAATCATTTTTAGGAATTCCTTTTCAGGCATTTCCAAAGCCTGCCCGTCTTCCAGTATGGATGTAGGTCTCCTTCCAGCTCATTTTCCTCAGTCACTTTATCTCGTTTCTGGACATGTGCAGATATGGTCGTCTGCTTCTGTTTTTTGGGCATCTTCAGGGGTTATCTGTGGCCTTAATACTTAGATGGGTGTGTATTTTGGTATTTTTTATGCTTTCTGAATGTCTCCAGGGAGATGTGATCAGGAAATGGGCTTCCCTTTTCAGTCTTCTTCCTGAGAAGTTTCAAGATACCACTGTTGGTCGTTTTGACGTAATTTGGGATTTAATTTTCGGCCTATGTCCTCTTTTGTCTGCTTGTCCCGCTCCACAATCTCCGTTCAGTCCTTTTTTCTAGTTGAAACAGTTCCCTTCCACATTCTTTTTTTTTAAAGGTTTTTATTGTGCATTGAGTGAAAGTTTATAGGAGATCATCAGTTTTACATTCAACAAATCACACACCTTGTTTCATTACAATGATTATAATCCTCTCCATGTACCATCAGTTAACAGTATTTCTCTCTATTTACTTTAGCTCTTTTTTTAAAAAAAAACAAAACACTCAGGCATATATAATAATTTACACCACCAAAGTGCACATTCTATAAGTCTGCCTTCTGGCCACCAGCTCTTAGTCTCTCTCTTTCCATGAATCTGGAGTCCCCAGCTGCTCCCTCTCTCCATGTCCCCATCTCTGCCTCCATTTCTCATATCGCTGCTTCTCTGGATAAGGTCTCACATTCCTCTTGTGCTCTTTTCCTTTGATGTTCCTGTTTCTGGACTGTAAGATTAACCATTCCCCTGTTTTTGTCACAATACTTCTACCTTTATAATTGTGACAGTTGCAATTGGTCATGATAACGATTACTCACTTTTGAATCATAAGAATCTTATCCTCATCTCTTTTAACCACACCCATCTAGACAAGATGAAAACTATTTAGTGGTGAGTCTTTCTTCCCTCCCACACTATTAAACTAAACTCCCTCTTGAAACTTTGTAAGGCAGTCACTTCATGCCTTTATCGCCCCCTCATTTTAGGTAGCCAATGTCTGTGTTGCCCATTCCTATCTACCGTGTGTACAGAGGGGATAGCATTGATACTTGATGTGAAGACTCCTTTCCTCTCTGGGTATCTAGAGTTACTACCTCCATGAGTATATAGGTCAAGTTCATCGAATTGTAGCAATTTACCTGTGTTTCCTTTATCAAAAATTGTTTTGTTCTTTTTCCTTTTTTCCTTCTTCCTCTAGTTGAGTTCTGAACATCAAGCCATTGAGGCTAGGTCAAGTAGGCACTGTCTGGAACTTTGGGTGTTCTTGTGTGCCTCCTCTTGCTCCATGTCAGCTGGATGCTTCACTCTTAGCTCTAGCCCTCTATGGCTATGTCCTTGTCCAAGGGCTCAAGTGTCTCTAGGTTTCACCACACTTTGGACCAACCAGCCCTTCCTCTTCTCTCTCATATCTCTGGAACGCCTTCCACATTCTTTTTTCTTTTAATGTTTTTTGTGGATTATGTGATATAGTTTACATGGGAAAACATTAGCTTTACATTCATCCTATCGTATATCGTTTCATTGCCATGATTACAATCCCCTCCATGCATCATCAAACAACCAAAGGGTATACCCCACAAGCCTGCCCCTCGGTCGTCAGCATGCAGCCCCTCTCCCCCTCTGGGTCTAGAGTCCCCAGTGGCTCCATCTCTCCACTTCCACATTCTTATGATATTTCTGCATCATTCAACATTTTATTTATAGAATCCTTCTACTGTTGCTCCAGGTGAATAGAAACAAATTGTTGTGCCTTGGATGGACACTTGAAAGCTTTGAGAACCCAGGAAACACTTAGTGAATAAGGAAGTAGAACAGAAGAACTAAACATGTTACTAGGCCATTAACGGGGATGCGCCATGAAACCATGAATCTAAACTTCCAAAGAAACAAATCCCATGAAGTACTTAGTTGGACATAAACAGGCTCAACAACTACTCTGTTTTTTGGTCATTGTAAATGTGTTTTTCACAAGGCACTGACCCTTGTGAAAAAAGAGTAAGGCTACATCAAACAGTAGACAGGCTTGTGAGAACAGTAGTATTATTAAGAAGGTACACACTCCTTAGAATATCAACTGTTTGAGATTAAAAGGGCAGCATTTACAAAAGGACAAAGTTCAGAAGAATTAGGTAAGAAGGAGGAATGGAAACTATGAACACAGAAAGGAAGTAGAATAAGTGATGCTACATTGTGGAGATTGCAATCAGTGACATGAAACAAAATGTGTTATGAATTGTTAAACGAAAAACTGATCTACTTTGTAAACCTTCACCCAATTCACAATAAAAAGTTAAAAACAAAACCAAAAGGATTGAGACTATAGACCTCCTTTCTTCCCAGGCCTTGCAGAGGTAGGTAGGGTCAGTGATAGTGACAAACTTAAGCTTTCATTTTAACATGTTCCTTTTGTATTATTTGTAAATTGATAGAGACTTAATTAGATTTAGTTTTTTTTTTTTCAAGTTTACTGTATGTTGTACTTTTACCAGACTCTAGATAATGTCTGGTGATGATGTATAGACAATCATTAATAATCATTAATTAGATCCACTAATTTATTATGGATTGTAAAGAGTTAGATATCCTAATTCTAGCTTTCCTTCCTTTATTATCTAAATACTTCTGTAAATAGGAATATAATTTCAATAAAAAAGTTTCGAATATTTGTTTCCTATCGAAAATGCCATTTTTCCGAGGATCTCTGATTTCTTTTAGTGAGAAAATATTTTTAAAAAAGAAAATATGAGTTCTTTTGTTGTCATTTCTTTTTGTGCCAGTGCATATAGCTTTTTAAATTTATAATTCTAGCCTTGAAAATACTTTTTAATAAAGAGAATCAACTTTCCATTATATTGCTTTTAGCATTTTTCTGTACTTTCTTAGCACATCCATTATAGAGTGTGTTCAGGAAAGAAAGATTGAAACCTCAATCAGGGGAGACTGGCTGGGAGCTAACATTTGCTGGATTACCGCAGCAGGCCCAAAAAATAAGTATCTTTTAAAAAATTTTAACAGACTGGTCAGTATTGTCCCTCCTTTTTAGATGAGGAGACCAAAACTCAAAACTAAGGGTTGTAAAATGACTAGTCAAAGTGCCACATTGACTGTGAATCGTGGACAGTTATGTGGTTTGTTTTGGATTGGATTTTGAAAGTAATATGAAAAAAGAGCAGACTTTATTTTTCTGACACTAAATCACGGTCATCAAAAATAGGATTAAAGCAATAAGACATGTTAAAAATACCAGATTTTCACTGCCATATTTTACAATGAAGAGCATGCCCAAAAAATGTTTTGAGTTCAGCATAGAGTAGAAGTAAGGATCAGAGCTAGAAAATGAGAATAGAAAAGATAATCAGGAAACTAGCATGCATTTTTTTTTCATGAAGATAATTCTTAGAAGGTTTGAACTTTTAAGGTACTGATTTTCTTAAAATAATACTCAGCCGTTATCTCTTTCAAATCTTATGTGAGTAGAACATCCACAGTTCTCCTAAATATCTGGGGGTTCGACTTTGAAGTCTGAAACTTGAATACAAATGCCTGCCATCTTGGAACTTACCAACTATGAGAATATTCATACTTTTGTTTGTAGATCTTTTAAAAATAGGCACTCTGAAATGTGTGCATTAGTTCTTGAACATAGTTTTGTCCTCAGAATGCAAATTTTGAGGGATTTGTTTGTTTATTTCTTTCAGTTTACTGTAAATACACCTCCTACTCCAGACGACCTGATGTTAAGTCAGTATGTTTACCGACCCAAGATACAGATTTATAAAGAAGATTGTGAGGTTCTTCGTCAAAAGATTGAGGAGTATGAAAAATTTTTTGTATTTTAATTTTTGTTGTTGGATGGGTGAATCGTCTTTGTGATAGGGTTTTAATTAGAATTATGTTAGCATAGGAAAGTTGATGGTGTTAATTGGTCATGTGATATGAGGAAAAGAATTTCAGCTTTGTAGTTAGTCAGATTGAAGCTTAAACTTAAAATATTAGCTGTGTAACCTTGGTTAGGATAAGCACTCAACCTCAAGGTCGCTTTGAACTGCAAGGTTAGTGGTTGAAACTCACCAGTTGCTCCTCATAAACCCTATACAGGGTCGTAATGGGTCAGAACCAACTCGACAGCACTTAACAACAACAATGGCACTATAGGATAATGCATTGGACTGCAAAGTTGGTTTGAAATACAAGATTAGTGGTTCAAACTTACCTGCTGCTCCTCGGGAACCCTATAAAGTATGGCTGTGAATCAGAATTGATTAAATGGTACTTAACAACCACAAAATTTGTAAATCAATATTCAGTATTTGCATATACTACAGCCTTGAATTATATTTTAAGAAAAACCATGTTCATTTATATAAGGAAATCAAGGGCAAATGTGATAAAATTACAAACCCAAAAGCAATCTTGATTTCAGGTACTTTATATATATAAATCACTAAATGATACTTCCTTTTGATGATGCTTTCTTTCAATTCATATCATAATCCAATAATAATTAATTTTGAGGGCCTACTTTTTGTTTGGAGTCCTGTTTTGGCATTGTAGGATAAGCACTGGACTGCTAACAGGGTTAGTGGTTCAAATCCACTAGATTCTCCATGGAAACCCTATATAGGGCCACAGGGAATCATAACTAACATAATGGCACTAACAACATTTTTTATAAGATAGTATAAGAACATTTTATATGCACTATTTCTACTGCTTATTTTTACCTGCTGAGTAGGTATTATTATTCCCACTTCATGCATAAGGAAGGAGTCCTGGTGGTATAGTGGGTTATGTGTTGGGCTGCTAACTAACTGTAAGGTCAGAAGGTCAAATCCACCAGAGGAGGCTCACAGGAGAGAGGAGACTTTTTGCTCCAGTAAAGATCTACAGTCTTGGAAACCCTACATAGGGTTGCTATGAATCAGAATAGACTTGATGGAAGTGGGCACAGATAAGGAAATTAATGTTAAATTATATTACTCAAGGGTGGTGGTGGTTGTTTTTAAGTGCCATTGAGTCAATTTCAACTCACAGTCAGTTTCAGCTCTGGTTTGTGGTTCAAACTGGCCTTGCATTCCAGTGCTTATCCTACAGCGCCACACCATTGTTGTTAAGTGCCATCAAGTCAATTCCGCCCCATAGCGACCCTGTATAAGGTTTCCAAGGAGCAGCTGGTGAGTTTGAACCACTGACCTTGCAGTTCAAACAACATTGCAGTCTGACACATTAGCCCACAGTGCCACACCATTAGGTACATCTAAATTTTTGCCATTAAATCTAGATTTACAATCTAAGATTGTATTTGTATCATACTAGGACTTTCCAATTAAATTGGAACCAGTCTAGCAAATGTTGTTGTTAAATGCTGTCAGCCAGTTCCAATTCATAACGACCCTGTATAATGTTTCCGAGGAGCAGCTGGTGGGTTTGAACTGTAGTTCAAAGTCTAATGCTGATCCTGTAATGCCACACCAGGAGTTCAATCTAGCAAATAGAAAAGGAATAAAATAACCTTGAAGAATTATGTCTTTTAAAAACTAGAAACTTAGGAATCTGTTAAAATACAGTATTTCAGATTTGTCTGATTCTGATTTGTTGATTCAGTAAACGTTTATTGAGCACTTACTATGTATCAAATATTGTACTAACTCCTGGGATTTATCACTGAAAAAGAATTCAAGGTCTCTGTTCTCATATTGTTTGAAACCATTTGGTATCTCAGAATTTGTCTGAAGTTGTTTTACTTTGAATGAATTGGGATCTTGTGCACAATAAGCAGTATGTTGTAGATTTGCTCTGCTGTTTAATTTTGCACCTATATACATATGCTTATAATATATTCTTCTAGCTCTGATAGAAATTTGTTTCCTCAGCTTACTAAAATAGTAGCTTTGCTAATTTTATTATTTTTTCTGTAAAGTACACAGAATAGTATACTTTGGATTGGATTGGGAGCTTTTATTTAAAATAACAGCTACAACTTCACAGCAGTTACAAATTGACAAGCATTAAGAATTCTTCATTAGCAATATGTTGGAACAAGTTTGCTTTGCAGGAACATGTTGATACACTGAGATGAGAGTTCTATTTGTAAGGGAAGTTTTTTTGATTCATGACATTCTTGAATTTCCCTACAAGTGTTGGGAAATAATCAAACTGGCTATTATTTTTGAGTGAATTCCCCTTTTTAGGTAGGAAAGAATTGTTAAGTGCTGTCAAATCGGTTCTGACTCATAGTGACCCTAGGGTTTCCGAGGAGTAGTTGGTGGGTTTGAATTGCTGACTTTGTGGTTCACAATCTAGTGCTGATCCTGCAGTGCCGTATACCAGGAGTCCAAGGAAAGAATTAGGAAGGATTAAATTAAGTATGCCTGTTGATTTTAGCTAGTTCATTAAAGCTGACTTCTAAACCCTATGCTAATTGACTTATCTATGTTTTAGATTAAAGCTCTCTGCATTGAACCAAGATAAGCTGCTGACTGATGTAAATAAGAACCTATGGGAAAAAATGAGATACTGCTCAGATGAGGAGGTACTTTATTCTCGTTTTCTGAATGTGAATCAGTGCAGGCATTTTGAATAACATGGTGAAGTAATTTTTACTATGATAATTAGTAGCAAAGTATTTAACTTGTGTTTTTTTCAAGTGTAATATGTTAATCAGAACCAATTGCCATCAAGTCAGTTCTAACCCACGGTGACCCATGTGACTCGGAATGGAACTGCTGTGCTGCATAGGGTTTTCAGTGGCTGATTTTGCACAAGTAGATTACTAGGCCTTGCTTGTAAGGTGCCTTTTGGTGGACACAAACTTTCATTTTGCCGCAGAGCACATTAACCATTTACATGATCAGACCTCTACAAGGTCGTGTTTAATTAAACACAATTAATTCATACAGAGTTTAATTCATATTAATTACTCAATTGGAGTCCTAGTGTGGCACCGTGGGCTGATACTCTGGACTGCAGTCATTTGAACTATAAGGTCGGTGGTTCAAGCTCACCAGCCACTCCTTGGGAGCCCTATACAGGGTCTGAACTGACTTGATGGCACTTAACAATTATTCATAAGGAGCACTGGTGGCACAGTGGTTAAAGCACTTGTATGCTAACCATAAGGTTCGCAGTTTGAACCACCAGCTATTCCGTGAGAGAAAGATATGGCAATCTTCTTCTTACAAATTTAAAGCCTTGGAAACCATACTAGGCAATTCTACTCTGCCTTCAAGGGTCCCTTTAGGTCTGAATCAACTCAACAGTGGTGGGTAAATTATTAATATGTAATCTTTCCAAACCTGAGATGATCAACGTAATATGTGAAATATGTTTGAAGTTTATATCGAGTTTTCTCCTTCCTAATTTAATTTATTTATTTAATTTTATATGTACCCTAATAAACTAACAGGATTTGATTGACTCAGTTTGTCATTTTTTCCCCGTCATTTTGTAATATAAAAGCAGGAATCAAGACTGAAATCTTTGATTCTATTTTCAAACAATTAAACAGAATTAAATTTGCATATGAGAGGTTCCCTGCTTTTGGAATCTGCATGTTGTTGTGAAGTGCCTGCAGTGGGGTCCGACCATAGCAACCATGTATAGGGTTTCCAAGGAGTAGCTGGTGAGCTTGAACCGCCGACCTTGCAATTCAAATGCTTTGTAGCCTGGCGCATGAACCTGCAGTGCCACATCAGAACTCCTTGGAATCTGCCTAGGATGGGCAAAGCCTATAATGTAGCAGCTGAGCCAGCTTTTCCGGACTATTTACCTTTTTTTACTTGTTTTGGTACAATGTACCCTTTAACTCTTGCTTACAGCTAAAGACCTTTGGAATTTACTTGAACAAAATAAAATCGCGTTTTACCAAGATAACTAAAGTCTTCACTCACCAAGGAAAAGTGGCACTCTACAGCAAGCTGGTGGAATCAGCTCAGGTAATCTGAGAAAGTTTACAGCATAGAAAAAAGCTATTAAAATGAATTAATTGTGATTGTGAACTATAAAGAATGAGGCATTTGAATGGGACTTGAATATAAACTTAAAATTGTCCATAAGAGGGTTATCAAAGTGGCAAACCCTGGAGTTTTGAATAATTGTTGTTATTGTTCAGTGCCGTCGAGTTAGTTCTGACTCATAGCGCCTATATAGGGTTTCTGAGGAGCAGCAGGTAGGTTTGAACTACTGACCTTGTGATTAGCAGCCCAGTGCTCTTCCTACAGCACAACACTAGGACTCCTTTTGAATAATTTTGTTGTTGTTTTTGAGTGCCGTTGAGTCAATTCCGACCCATAGCAACCCTGTACAGGGTTGCCAAGGAGTAGCTGGTGAGTTTGAACCGCCGACCTTGCAGTTCAAACAGCTTTGCAGTCTGGCGCATTAACCCACAACGCCACACCAGGACGCTTTTTGAATAATACTAGACTATAATTACTGATAAGGACTTCATGTTATACATTGTACGTATTGAGATGAAATATTGGGATTCTTGGTCTCCTATTAATGACTGTCCTTTTAAGAATGTTCTGTATGAAAGTATTTTAATTGGAAAATAAGCCTGGAAATGCTATAATTTAATATCCCCCTTTTGGAGAAATATAATAACTAATATATTAAAATCAAAAGTCAAAAATCTTGTTGTTTTTTTTAATGCTGTTGTTCTTTCTGACCAGCGTTTTCCCATATATATTTTTTCAAGTAATACATATTAATTTCTCATGGAGTCAGTATTCCATGGAACAAATATAAAAATGCTATAATAAAGGAAAGTACAAAAATTGTTATATTAATTTATTATATATCCTTTAAAAATTTTTAAGTCCAGATTTGAAGCTTTGACCTTCATCTTAAGACTTGTTTGTTCTATCATTTAGAACTAGCAATTTGAGCCATTTATATTTTATTTTGTTTTCAGAGACTTCATTTGACAATTGGAGTCCTGATTTGGCTCTGTAGAATAAGAACTGGACCAAAAGGTCAGTTTGAACCACAAGGTTGGTGGTTTAAACTCACCAGCCACTACTTGAAATCCCTATACAGGGTTGCTAAGAGTTGGAACCAGCTCAGGGGCACTTAACAAACAATTTGATAATCAATGTCTTGTGTTTAGAATGAGAGGAAGAAACTTCAGATAAGAATGCATAGAATGGACTGCATACTTAAGAAGATCAATAACTGTCTCACTAAGGTGGAAATTGGTAACGTATCTTGAATACTTCTAAAAGAAAATTTAATTTTATCTAAACTGTTTCCTATTGTAGAGATTTCTGGTTGAAATCTTGTATTAGCAGTTTAAGACATTAAATTGAGAGTGAATGAAAACTCCTTAACTATGGTGATCTTTTAACACAATCAACAAGAATTGCCAGACACAGTCAACAAGAATTGCCAAAAGTATCTTTGGAAAGTTCTTTTAAAACTAAACTATAATGTAGTGTTTTTAATATATGAACTTATGCTATCAGAAAATTGGCTGTTCTTTTGATTTGAGCTCTCAACAATCCTAATATACTAGTATTGCACTACTGAAACTGCTTTCAGAGATTACAAAATTCCGTATGAGCATCAAATTTAGTCTTTAGCCATATTGACCTCTTTCTTTCATTTGTCATTAATGTTTATTATTCCTGACATTTTCTTCTCCCTTAACCTCTATTTTATTGTACTATTTTGACCCTACTTTCTTCTGACTTTTTATTTCCTCTTTCTTACTAACCACTCGTGTGAGCATTAAGATTAGATTTCTAGTTGCCTAGTCAACCTTGCTGCATAATATCTTTAAGCACCTTAATACTAATGTGAAAATTGTATCCTTCCATCTCCAAAATAAGAAAACTCAGGTAACTCTGTGGACTAAACATTGGACTGCTAACTGCAAGATTGGTAGTTTAAACCCACCAGCCACTTCTTGGGAGAAATGTGAATTTGTCTGCTCCCATAAAGATTATAGTCCTGGATACCCTAAGAAGCAGTTCTACCCTTTCCTATGTAGGGTTGCTATGAGTTGGAATCAGCTCAATAGCAGTGGGATCTCCAAAATAAAACCATATTCTATTATATTCCTCATTTCTATGAATGGACTCACTATTGTACAATGTAAAAAGTTCAAAACATTTCATTGTCTTTAACTGCCTCTTACCAAGTCCTATCATATCTGCTTCTTGAGCATCTCTTGTATTCTTTCTCATTAATTCTGAGATATGCAATTTAAGTAACCAAATATCTTTCTACATTCTTACCTTCATTCTGTCTCCTTCCAGTTCAACCTACACATTGTTGCTAGTTTAATTACTATAAGGAATAGTTTTCATTGTTATTCCCACTGGGCAGAGTACATTTTTTATGTCTCTCCATTAATAAAGTCCATATTGAGCTTGGCATTTCTTTACAATCATATTCAAATCTTTCTTTCTTGCATGACATGCCACTACTTCCTTATCCACCATATAATCCAACCAAATTTTGTCATTCCTATGTAGTCCTACCACTTTGTCTTTGCTAATGTATTCCCCTTCTGTGTTCCACCAACAGGAGGTAGACTCTCTCTCTTTCAAGTCTTGTAGTTATTTTATTAATACTTCTTATAGTACCTAATGGAGTCCTGCTGTGGTACTGTAGGATAAGCACTGGATTGCTCACTGCAAGGTCAGTGGTTCAGAACCCTCTACTGGGTCGCTATGAGTTGAAACTGACTGGGTGGCATTAATAACAACAACACTGAAAAGTCCAACAGCTTTAACCTACTAGCTACTCCATGGGACAAACGTGACAATCTGCTTCTGGAAAGATTTGTTGTTGTTAAGTATCATCAAGTCGATTCCAACTCATAGCAACCTTGTATAGGGTTTCTGAGGAACAGCTGGTGAGTTTGAACTGCCAATCTTGTGGTTCAAACCAACCTTTCAGTTCAGCACATTATCCTGTAGTGCCACACCAGAAACATGCTCTTTACCTGACTGTGTGCAGAAAGCTGGGTCAGGCAGAGAGCTGGGTGGCAGGTACCGTGAAGCGATACAGAGAGAGTAGGATACATATCACAGTGCTGAGCATCCCAAGAGAAAAACAAGGAAGCAAGATAGTTACAGAAATGCTCACTTAACCTAGGGGAAAATTTAAAAAGTTCATGGAAAAATGGAAGTTTTCCACAAAATTTTTAAAGCCCCTTATCTATTTATATCTGATCCTACTTATTAGCCCATAGAAACCAGTGGGCTAGTTGTATGCATTTATATGTAAACAGCTTCCATCTTAAAATCATCCTTGAGAACATGTTAGTCGATATCACTGTATTAGTTCATAGGACACTGTCACAAGCCAAGTTTCTGTATAATACTATAGTGTTATAGATCAACACTTTATTGGTAATGAAAGGTGAAGTGAAATATTCAAGACAGTTCATTTTGGGACTGCCTATTCTTTTTACCTCTGGTTGTTGACGTCATTCTTGACTGAATTTTCTGAATGCATATTGTCTAACTTTTAGAAACGAAGTATTTTGAGGATGAAGAGAAAGACCCTCCTATGGAAGAATGGGATTCTAAAATGAGAGCTTCAAAGAAAGGTGACCAAATTATGTAATGAAAAAATATATAATTCTCTATGTGTGTATTTTGTATAAGATTAAGTCAGAATTTACAATGAAACATATTTTTGCGGCAACATCCTAATGTCATTTTGATTTGTAATCTTTTCAAAGAACTGGAACAGCTGAAAACTGAAGAAGAAGAGCTTCAAAGGTCAGTCTTCTGAGTGTTGGAATATGTAATGCTACATTCCACTAGGCAAATGAAGGCCACCTCCAGAGAGTGACCACGTTGGGGATATGAGTCTCGACTAAGACTGGCTGAGGGCTTCTGTTCCACTTTGAACTGGGCCCTAGGGGCCATCTTAGACAACAATATTTTAGAAAATATTAGAATCATTTATTGCTTATGGGAAATTAACCCAAGGGAAGTCCAGTATTTCTCAAGCTTGAACATCAGCATACTTTTAAAGAAAATAAATCTAGCATTAAACTGTTTTAAATACAAATAATGACAAAATCAATATAGTTCCAATTGATAACATTAATTTTACAGTTGATAATGTTTGACTGAAGTATGTTGATGGTAGCAAAATGACTACCAGAACATAGGTTCTATTTATTATTGTTATCATATCTGTTCCAACCCATAGTGACCCTAGTGTTTCCTAGGAGTGGCTGGTGAGTTTTAACCGCCAACCTTGCAGTTCAAACCAACCTTGCAATTTAGTTAGCTCTTTAGTTGTTGCTTTGTTAGCTGTAGCAAACTAAACAATAAAACCAAGTGCAGACACTGAAGTTATAGCATGTCTCAGTCTAAAGTGGGCATCCATATGATTTATAAAGATCCTATTACCATCAAGTCAATCCTAAGCCATAGTGATGCTATGGGGAGAGTAGAACTGTCCCATCAAGTTTCCAAGGCTGTACATCTCTACCACATTTTTCTCATGGAGCAGATGGTGGATTGAACCACCAACCTTTTGTTTAGCAACCAAGTGCTTTAGCCAGTATGCCAATAGGCTTATATATATGTTTTATGATATGTTTAAAATAATACTATCAATATGAAAATGTAAATTTTTAAAAATTATCTTAAAGAACATATGAACCCCCAGGAATATCTTCATTTATTCTAACTTGAGAAATAATCAACAACAAAACTCTCTGAAAATGCAAAAATGTATGCCATTCACTTGCATCATTATCTTGCTAATAGTTATCTGGTGTGACACTAGACTACTACCTCAAGGTTGGCAGTTCAAACCCACCAGCTGTTCCTCAGAAACCCTATCCAGGGTTGCTCTGAGTTGGACCCGACTTCACAGCACTTCATAACAAGAGAGTTAACTAGGATGTGACTTCTTGTCATAAACCTTTTTTTTTTTTGTCATAGACTTTTTATATTGATAGAGTCTAAATTCTCTAACAAAAGATTTTATTTTTCCATGAATATCTGGTATATTTGCAGGAATCTCTTAGAACTGGAGGCACAGAAAGAGCAGACATTTGCCCAGATAGACTTTGTGCAAACACAAACAAACAGAACTGAAGAGTCATTAGATCAGTTGAGGTAAGGAAAAGCTGGTGGTGTCATTAATTTGTGTTTTATTTATTTTTGCTTAAATAGGTTATTTAAACATTAACTCTCCCAACATATTTTGTTATTACTCTTTTTAACCATGAAGGTATCATGGTACCATGCACAATTGTATTGTGCAGGTTTGCATATTGCTGTGCTATTATGGTGTGGGTTAATGTGCTGGACTGCAAGGTCAGTTTGCAACAACATTGTGAATTAACTGATAGTTTACATGGGAAAACATCGGTTTTATACTCATCATTTCATTGCAATGATTACAATTTCCTCTGTGCATCATCATTTAACAATATTTGCTTCTATTCCCTCTGGTTTTTTTGTTTTTATTTTGAGGATGTACACAGAAACACTCAGGAATATATAATCATTTAAACAACCAAAGGGCATATTCTGCAAGCCTGCCTCCTTGCTGTCAGTACACAGCCTTTTTCTTTCCATGAATCTGCAGTCCTCAGCTACTCTCTCTCTACATGTCCTCATCTCTGCCTCCATCTCTGGTGTCGCTGTTTCTTTGGATAGGGTCCTAAATTCTGTTCACTGCATGATATTCTTGATGTAATCTCACAACTGGTCTGGTCTTTGGTCATTAATGTTCAAAGCATCAAAATCTGTTCTTGAGATGACCTCTAAATTCAGGTGGGATTATATTTAAGATTATTGAAGGACCCTGCTACTGATCAACAAAATGGCATTGCAGGTGCCCCCAAGTGGCATCAAATAAAGTCCTACTTAAGCTTCTATTCTCCTGAAAGCTTAAGTCTCCTGAAAGCTTAAGTCTTTATTACACTAAGAGACCAATAGTTTCAGGTTTCAGGAATATCTCCATATCCATACCCATCAAAAGCCCACCAAAACTGTACCCAGGACCACGCCGCCTTAAATACGCCAGTCTGTAAGAGATGGGCAGGCTCTTTGTCTCTCTTACTTTGAGATCCCCTTCCCAGGTTTACTCTCAATAAATCTGCCTTCTGTTAAAGCCACATTTCTCTCCTCATCTCGTTCTTTCTTATTTCTAACAGTTATATTTTGGCTCTTGTGGACTTCTTTTAATTTTCTTCAGCTTCAGCCTGAACTTGCATATGAGCAATTGATGGTCTGTTCTATAGTCAGCCCCTGGTCTTGTTTTGGCTGGTGATACTGAACTTCTCCATCATCTTGCCCATAAATGTAGTCATTTTGCATCCTGTGTATTCCATCTGGTGAGGTCCATGTATGTAGTTCCTGTTTATGTTTTTGAAAAAAGCTATTTGTAAAAAGTAAGCCATTGGTCTTGTAAAATTCTTATCATGCATCTCCAGCATCATTTTTATTACCAGGTCGTATTTTCCAACTACCGATCCTTCCTCTTTGTTTCCAACCCTCACATTCCAATCACCAGTATTTATCAATGCGTCTTGATTGCATGTATGTATAATCAATTTCAGACTGAAGAAATTGTTAGAATTCTTTAATTTCATCATTATTAGCTTTGGTGGTTGGTGCCTAAATTTGAGTAATAGTCTTATTAACTGCTCTTCCTTTTAGTTGTATGGATATTATCCTATCACAGACAGATATTGAAATATTCTTTTTGATGGCGAATTTGTCATTCCCAGCATAGTAAACCATATGATTGTCTAATACAAAATTACTAGTTCAGCTCTCTAATGCCTAGGATATCTTTACGTATTCCATTTCATTTTTGATGACTTCCAGTTTTCCTAGATTCATACTTCATACATCCCATGTTCTGATTATTAATGGATGTTTACAGCTATTTCTTCTCATTTTGCTGTGTCCCATCAGCAAATGAAGGTTCCAAGAGCTTGGCTCTATCCACATGGACATGAATTTAATCTGTAAACTGAACAAATAATCTAAGAAGCTGGACTATGTGAAGAATACATCAGCATTAGAAACTATTCATCGGCAACCTGTGATTTGCTTCCTGAACTCAAACTTGCTTCCTGAAAGCAAGGAAGACTTTGAAGCACTTACTGATGAAGATCAAAGACTATAAACCTCAGTATGTATTACACCTCAACATGAAAGAAAATTGCTCACAACTGAACTAATAAGCAACATCGTGATTGCAGTGCAATGACTTACTGTACTTCTATTCATAGTGTTTGTAACTCCTACCAAACATTGTTTTTTGTCCTGCTGGATTTGTATAAGAGATGGTGAGAGAAGATGCTGGTAGGAGTATATGACTCAGTTGTGAGTGGGTAACAGTGTTAATTATGGTTGTAAAGGCTTGGAACTCTAATTGTATAATATAAAATGAGCCATCTCAGAAGCAGGAATGGGGGAATGTCACTACCAATGAAGAAGAGCCAGGAGTGTAGCATGTCCTTTGGACCCAGAGAAACCTGCACATTAAACCTCCTTGATCCAGGGACAGAAAGTTGTGACAGCAGAGGAGTGGCAGAGGGGCAGCAGCAGTAGAAACAAGAGCCAGAGTTTAAGACAGAGTGGTAAGCTTCCCAGTCCATGTAGCAAGTAAAGCTGATGGACTTGAGGCAGGAGGCTTGCTTACAGAGTGGGATGTCTTTGGAGCACTTAATTGGAAGTAGATTTGCTGAGCCAAGTGCCTTCAAGCTGAGGCTTATGTTGGAATGGTGTGCACTAGGGCATTTATCAGCAGCCCTAAAAGAGCTTTGTAACATTGCCCTTGCAGAGAAAGACCTGTCTGTTCACATAGCTGAGGGGAGGCTGTCTTGACTGGAAGAACTGTACCCTGAGAATTTCTGATTTCAAATTGTAACCTGTTGACTTTCCTAATAAAGCCCTTAACTGTGAGAATGGTGTCTTAAGTTCCGTGTGGCCATTACAATGAATTATTGAACCCAGCAGAGTAGATAGAGATTTCTATGTGAGGGATGGTTGGTGTGACTTTTTGTTAAACTGATAAATGGAGAAAAGATTGAAGTTGCCAAGGATTTAATTTTACTTGGAGCTGCAATCAACATCCATGGAAGATGTAGTCAAAAGATACATTGTATTGGGAAAATCTGCTACAAAAGACTTGCAAAGTGTTAAAAAGCAAAGATGTCACTTTGATTGCTAAGGTATGCCTGAGCTAAACCATGGTATTTTCAATCACCTCCTATGTATGAAAAATCTGAAAAATGAATGAAGAACTGATGCGTTCGAATCACAGTGTTGGTACATATGAAGAATATCATGTATACCATCTCCCAGAAGAATGAATAAATCTGTCTTGGAAGAAATACAGCCAGAATGCTCCTGAAAGCAAGAATGATGAGACTTGTCTCATATACTTTGGATATGTTATCAGGAGGGACCAGACCCTGAAGAACGGCATCATGCTTAATAAAATAGAGGGTTAGCAAAAAGATGAAGAACCCTAGAGAGATGGATTGACAAATATTTATCACTTTTTGGAGTGCATAGATTTGCCTTTTCATAGATTAACAATTGAAGATTGAATCGGTTCTTATTTCTTTCAATAGCATAAAATTATGCATTCACAGTATTTTAATTGAATATCAGTTATCTGTTAACCCAGTGGAAAAACATGACCAGCTATTTATTGCTGATACTGTTTGAGTAGGATCAGAACTTATCACTTCTTTCATCTCAAGAAAATGTCTTATTTTTTTCTCTCCAGCTTGCCTGAATGGGATGTCATTGAGTGGAGTGATGATCAAGCTGTATTCACCTTTCTTTATGACACAATAGAGCTCACCGTAACCTTTGGAGAAGCAGTAGGTAAGAAACAGACAATTTCTCTACAGAAAAATATATGGCTAAACTTATTAAAGATTCAAGTCTTTCTTTTAATATAATAGTATTTACTAATTACTACTAATAAATAAAAGTACTGCTGAAAATCTTAAAAAACATGACCATTTTAATTAGTGATAATTGTTTGTTTGTTTTTTTCATTAAAGAGTAAAAATGTAGCTAGTGGAAGTTGAATTATATTGTTGTTTTTGTTGTCAAGTGCCATCGAGTCAGTTCTGACTCATAGCAACCCTGTATAGTGTTTCTGAGTCTGTAAATCTTTGTGGGAGCAGAAAGTCTCACCTTTCTCCTGCGGAGCAACTGGTGAGCTTGACTTGCCGACCTTATGGTTCACAGTCCAGTGCTTATCGTGTTAGATGATAGACATTTTGCCTATTGAAATAATGGACATCTTTGTTATTTACATCTATTTCCTGTGATTTTCTTTTTTCCATCACTGTTTTTTGTTGATGAAGGGTTTACTCTAATAGCTAATAATTCCCCACTATTTTCTTATGTTTAAGAGTAAGACCTTATTAAAAAGTTACTTGGAAATGCACTGTATAAGGTGGACTTAATCAAAATTGGTAGACATCATTGCATGGTTATTGAACAGAGAGTTACAGCTGCTTTGTTGGTGTTGCCTGTTGGTATCTATAGGTATTTATGACTTGTACCAGTCAGTGTCAACATAGCAAAATTGGCCACAGTCTTCACAACCTTCCAGCCTCCACACCAGATTCTCCTTAATTGTTCCTTTTCTCAATGAATAACATCAACTTCTGCCAAAATCCAAAATTAAAACCTATGAATCACACTATGCCTCTTTTTCCCTCTCTTACTATTGTTGTTGTGTGCCAGCTAGTCAGTTCCTACTCATTGTGACCTTTGTGACCTTGTACAGGGCTTCCAAGGAACAGCTGGTAGATTTGAACTGCCAACTGGTTAGCAGTCCAGTGCTTATCCTACAGTGCCACACTAGGACTCACTCTCTATATGCATATTTAAATTATCAAAACGTCTTACTGATTCTAACATCTTAATGTTCATCTACTTTTTTCCATATTTTCTGCCATCAGTAGATTTCTGCCATCAGCTATCTAACCTGGATGATTGCAGGTTAACATTCTAAGTGGTGTTTTGGGATCTTCTAATTTTCCTCTCCAAGGAGCTCTGGTAACGTAGTGGTTACAGTTCGGGCTGCTAACCTCAATGTCAGCAGTTCAAAACCACCAGACATTCCACAGGAGAAAGGTGAAGCTTTCTGCTCCCATAAAGATGTACAGCCTTGGAAACCCTATGTCGGGTTGCTATGAGTAGGAACTGACTCCATGGCATACCACCACCACCACCAATTTCCCTCTCCAATTCATTCTCCATCATGTAACTAGAATAATGTTTGAAAATCAGACCCACTATTCTGAGGCTAATGACCAAAATAATTTTATAGCCTGTAAAGCTATATAATTAATAAAATTCATTCAGTTGAATTAATTTAATTCATCCAGTCTTACCTGCCTCATGTTATACTGCCTTTCTACCTGACTCATCTGTCAGTTTGCTGTACTGTAGTGGCTTGCATATTGCTGTGATGCTGGAAGCTAAGCCACTGGTATTTAAATACCAGCAGGGTCACCCATGGTGGATGGGTTTCAGCAAGGCTTCCAGACTAAGACTAGAAAGAAAGTTTAGCCACTGAAAATCATGTGAATAGCAGTGGTACATGGCCAGATAGCACCAGAATACTAAGACTGAAACATTATAAATAGCACCAGAATATTGTCAGATAATAGTACTAAAAGTTCAGTCTCTCAGGATGGAAGGAACTCAAAATATGACTGAGAAAGAGCTGCCTCCTCAAAGTATAGTTAACCATAATGATGTGAAAAGAGTAAAGCTTTTGGGACCTTTATTTGCTGTTGGAGCACAACTCAAAATGAGGAGGAATTGTTGTGTACATCATTAGTAATCAGAACATGGATTGTATGAAGTATGAATCTAGGAAAATTGGAAGTTGTCAAAATGAAATAGAATTCATAAATATCAGTATCCTATGCATTAGTGACCTGAAATGGGCTGGTATTGGCCATTTTGAATCTGGCAGTCATATGGTTTACTATGCTGGGAATGACAAATTGAAGAAGAATGCAGTCGCATTCATCATCAAAAAGAACATTTCAAGATCTTGAAGTATAATGCTGTCTGTGATAGGATAATATCCATATGCCAACAAGGAAAACCAGTTAATACAAATATTATTCAACATTACACACCAACCAGTAAAGCCAGTGATGATGAAATTGAAGAATTCTTACCCATTCCATTAGTCAGAAATTGATGAAACATCAATTTCAAGATGTATTGAAAATTACTGGTGATTGGAATACAAAGACTGGACTCCAAGAGAAAAGGAATCAGTAGTTGGAAAATGGGGTATCAGTAACAGAAAGAGCTGAAGATAGAATTTTGCAAGACCAATGACTTGTTCATTGTAAATACCTTTTTAAAACAGCATAAAAGATGACTATACTCATGGACCTCACCAGGTGGAATACACAGAAATCAAATTGACTACATCTTTGGAAAGAGATGGTGGAAACGCTCCGTATCATCAGCAAAACAACATCAGGGGCAGACTAGAATAGACCATCAATTGCCCATATGCAAGTTCAGGTGATGGTCAAGAAAATTAAAGTAAGTACACAAGAGCCTAAATATGACCTTGAACATATCCCTGAATTTAGACATCATTTCAAGAACCAATTTGTTGCACTAGACATTAACAACCAAAGACCAGAGGAGTATGGGATGGCATCAAAACATCATACAGGGATAAAGCAAAAGGTCATTAAGAAGACAAGAAAGAAGTAAAATTCAAAAATGGCCTCGACAGGGGAATTTGGTTCACAAAGTAGGGAGATCTGGCGGCGACAGAGATAGAGAAAGAACACACACAAAGACGCAACGAGAGAGATAAAGAGACACCCCGAAATTAGAGTGGATGCAAGACTGGTGGGCAGACCCTGGACTACAGGCATCATGGCCCTGCAGGCAGTAATGCACCGCCCTGCAAACCGTAATGCATACAGGGTTCAGTCTGCGCCCCCTTTTTATTTCAGGGAGGGACTTTACACAAAGGCAGAAGGGGATTATTAAGACAGGGTACAGAAATGAAATGTGATTAATTGTTCAAAACAGGACACCATGATTTACAGGAACAAATTCTAAAACATACATCGCAAATTGTCTTAATAATCTAACATCCTTAATTTTCTAGAAATTCAAGCAAATTGTTATAAATTACTTTTTAGCTTCAAATCCTAAGGCAGCAACTTGAGGTTTCTCCAGGCTAATTAACATACCTATAGCACTTAATCTCGAATGGGAAAAGGTGAAAAGGATTCAAAAGGTCTGGGAGGAGTCCAGCTGTTTCAGCTACCTGGCCTAGGCTTGCAGGAGGAAAAAGGACGCCTGGGTTAATGGTTTACATCTGGGGACGATTTGGATTTGAGAAGGCTGTCACTATTATTCCTTGAACAATACCCCGGAATTCGCCAATCTACTTTGAGTGAATTCCTTGGGTAGACTGTCTCCAGAGTCTCCCAGCAAACTTGCCTTTGGAACTTTTTACAGCCTTGGCTTTAGAAGAGGCTTTTGTTTTAATATTTGCCCATGGGTATCAAGGGCTCATGTATTAAGTTAGTATCAAACCTAACTGAATAACTTGATAAAGAACAGTTTTGCCATGCTTGCCAGGTGGCCAGAGTTTGTTCCTCAGAGAGATTTGTTCCTAGGACCCTACGCACTGCCATCACAGTGGAGACATTAAGAGAGGCACATAAGAAACCATTTTCTCAGAAGCTACAATTACTGGAGTTCGAAGCATAGAATGAATAATAGGACCAAAGAAAATTACACAGGGGAAGCCCAACAGTGAGTACGCAAAAAACCAAGGAACCTGGGACATCAGGAGGTCACTTCCTTGGGCCCTCAGGGTCCCTGACTAGCCATCCTGAGTGGGGCCATCATGTAGGATTTTCGTCCATGACACAGGGCCTCAACATCTCAGTGATTGCGGTCTCCAACAGATGTCAGAACTTGCTAAAGCAAATGGAAGAAATGAGGAAGTCAGAGAACTGAAGAGGAAATTTCAAAGGGCAGCTCAAGAAGACAAAGTCAAATATTAATAATGTAAAGTGCAAAGACCTGGAGTTGGAAAACCAAAACATGTGCACCATTTCGCAAGCTGAAAGAACTCAAGAAAAAATTCAAGCCTTGACTTATAATATTCAAGGATTTTATGGGGAAAATATTGAATGATGCAGAATGCATTAAAAGAATGTGGAAGGAATACACAGAGTCACTATACCAAAAAGAAATTGACAATATTCAACCATATCAAGAGCTAGCATATGATTGAGAGCCAATGGTACTGAAGGAAGAAATACAAGGTGAACTGTAGGTGATCAGCAAAGAGCAAGTCTCTATGAACTGATGGGATACAAATTAAAATCTTTCAACAAACTGATGCAGCACTGGAGGCACTCACTCATCTATGTCAAGAAGTTTGGAAGACAGCTACCTGGCCAACTGACTGGAAGAGATCCATATTTGTGCCCATTCAAAAGAGAGGTGACCCAAAGGAATGCAGAAATCATTGAACAATATTATTAATATCACATGCAAGTAAAATTTTGCTAATGATAATTCAAAAATGGCTACAACAGTACATTGACAGGAAACTGCCTGAGGTTCAAGCCAGATTCAGTTGAGGAATATCATTGCTCAAGTCATATGGATCTTGGCTGAAAGCAGAGAATACCAGAAAGATGTTTATCTATGCTATTGACTATGCAAAGCCTTTTGACTGTGTGGATCATGCCAAGCTATGGATAACATTGGAAAGATTGCTTTAAAATTAGGAAAGATGTGCGCTAGGTTTGGATTATTTTACCGTACTTATTCAGTTTATATGCTGAGCAAATAATCCATGAACCTAGATTATAAAAAGAACATGGCATCAGGATTGGAAAAGATTCATCAATAATCTGTGCTATATAGATGATATGACCATACATGTTGAAAGCCAAGAGAACCTAAAATACTTATTGATGAAGAGCAAAGACCACAGCCTTCAGTATATGTTATAGCTCAGTGTAACAAAAACAAAAATCCTCACCACTAGACCAATAAATAGAATCATGATAAATAGAGGAAAGACTGAAATTGTCAAAGACTTCATTTTGCTTTGATCCACAAAAAAATGCTCATGGAAGCAGGAGTAGGCAAAAGTATTCAAGAGTCAAGATGTCATTTTGAGAATTAAGGTAGCCTGACCCAAGTCATGTTATTTTCAATATGCTGCTAATCTGAAGGTGGTCAGCAGCTCAAAACTAACAGTGGTTCCGTGGGAGAAAGATGATGCGTTCTATTCCTGTAAAGATTTGCAGCCTCACAGAGACAATGACATGGAGAAATAGAGCATCTGAGGATTCGACTCATGGAAAGGGAAAGGCTGTATGCTGATAGGGAGCTGGTTTGCAAAATGTGCCCTTTGGTTGTATATTATATATTCTTACCTGTTTTTGTGTACATCAAAAAAGAGGATTGTAATCATTACAATGAAACAAGATGCCGTGGCTTGAATGCAAAACTGATGTTCTGCCATGTAGACTACCTCTCAACTCGCAGTAAAAGCTTTAAAAAAAAAAAAAGACTTACAGCCTTAGAAACCCTATACAGAGTCACTGTGAGTCAGAACTGACTCCATGGCACTTAACCACCAACTACCATATGCATATGAAAGGTAGACAACGAATAAGGAAGGAAGACCTTGGAAGAATGGATTCATTAAAAGTACCATGGACTGCCTGAAGAACAAACTAATCTGTATTGGAAGAAGTACAGCCAGAATGCTTCCTGGAAGTCAGAAGGGCCAGCCTTCATCTCTCATACTTCAGACATATCATCAGAAGGGACCAGTCCCTGGAGAAAGACATCATGCTTGGTAAGGTGGAGGGTTAGTCAAAATAAGGAAGACCCCCAAAGACATGGATTGTCATGGTGGCAGCAGCATTGGGCTCAAGTGTAATAATTGTGAGATTGGTGCAAGACCCGGCAGTGTTTCATTCTGTTGTGCATAGGTTCTTTATGAGTCTGAACCAAGTTGAAAGACTTAACGACAACAATAACCCTTTGGAGCTCAACTTAATTGTAACTTTCTCAGGAAAGTCTTCACTAGACTATTCTGTTACCCACTCACAGCTTCAAACCAGTTCATACTGATTTAACACTCTGCTAACTTGCTTTTACCTCCAGATACATTTTAACAAGATCCCCAGGGGATCTATAAGAATCACTTGGGACTTGTTTAAAATCTAGATTTTGACTCATTTTATCTAGGGTGGAAATGCAAATTCTCAGCAGGAGGTTCAACTGCAGTAAAATAGTTCAAAGTCGTGTACCCACTGTTTCTATTATTTACTTTCTGCTACATGTTCTCATTGCTTATGGTAGTTTTTAAAATACTACTATCACAGTCAATCCTTTTGTTTATTGGTGTAGTTATCTGTGTGTCCCCTTAAGATGTCTTAAGTTTTTTGAGAGCATAGGTTGGTTATGTCTGGTTTTCTCATTATGGTATCCAGGGTACCTAACACATATAAAAACATTCAGCAAAAAATAACCAACTAGAATTTGATAAATACGTGATAATTCTATATTCTGGAGGAGCAAGCAGCTATCCTGGCTACCTATAACTCATTCCTGTAATGCTTAAAAGCATAAATCTTTAGGTTTGTACAAGGATAGTAGGAGTAGAGGCTAGTAATCAGCTGTATTTCCATTGTATATATACGTCAGTGAGCTGAGCTGGGGAGAGCTAAACTGAGTGTCAGTTGTTAGAATAGTCAAGTAAGATAACTATTCAAAATGAAAGTACCAGTTGAGCATTTAATAACTGATACTATAAGGGGGTTTCAAAAAGTTTGTAGAAAAATGGATTTTAAAGATAAGGAATTTTGCCACAAATGGTTTGAAGCCCCCTTGTAATAAGCAAGAGAACCCCCAAAAGACATTGATTCCCTCCTTGTTCCATATTTCCCCCAGGAATAGTGCCCAGTGAGGGTCAGGTGGATCACTGCAGATGTGGGCAGTGTCTCACTGCTGAGAGAGCTTTAAACAAAAGGCTTCTGCAGTTTTCAAGACCCATGAGCCAGAGCAAGGTCAAGGGAAATGCTAGGAATAAAAAATACTACATATATTGAGTTGGGAGTTGGGCAAGATGTCTTCAGGGATCCCACTTTTTTCCCTCGATAAGGAGGGTTTCAGCAGAGGTGCCTGTGGAAGACCTCTGCTGAAGAAAGCTCCCTATGGGGGTGCCTAAGTAGTAATGCAGATATCCAAAAGAGCATTATTCATGGAAGGTGGGCATACTGCATCCTTGACTGAAGCTCCCTTCAAACATAGCAATGCATTGGCTGTGTATCTCCTCTGGTTGGGGAAGGCAGCTCTCCTCCTGAGGTCTACCCAGAGGAAATATTTAATTGCATGTGGTGAGGCTGAAAAATTACATGTTGCCAGGAGCCAAACTCTTTATTATGGTTCCTGAAAATAAAATCATCTTTGTACAAAAGTTAAGGGTCAGAGGAGGAGACTTTGATAAATATATCTGTGTCCTATACCTTTAATTTCCTTCTAAGTCCTGTCATTCAATATAGTGCAACTGTCTCAGGGGAGCCTTTACCGTATACACAGGAAAATATACTCAGAGGGTTCCAGGATAAACCTTCAACTAAGGTCACTATGGGTCTGTACCAACTCGATGGCACCTAACAACAACAACAATCTATGAAAAAACCCTGCTATCCAGAATGAGAATTCTTAAGTACTGTGTATTTTGTGGCTTAAAATTAGATAGTAAAAAGAAATACTTACTGTTTTTTAATAGTTGGTCTGCCTTTCCTGGACAAGGATTGTAAGAAGATTGCTGACCTGAATTTTCATTCAGTTTTGGATGGTAAGTCAGTCTCTAAAAATTGGTTAGTAATATACATGTTTAAATTACTCCTTCAGAATTCTTTCAAATGATAATTTAAATATAAACAACAATAATAGTTTGTCTTTAGAAATGTGTGTTAGATATAAAACTATTTGGCTAATGTTGTAAATATGTAGGGTTTTAAAATGATGGCTGGTGGCTGTGTGCCGTGGAGTCGATTCCGACTCATGGTGACCCTATACAGGGTTTCCGAGGCTGTAAATCTTCACGGGAGCAGAATGCCTCATCTTTCTCTGGCAGAACAGTTGGTAGTTTCGAACTGCTGACCTTGCGGTTTGCAGCCTGATTTGTAACCACTACACTACCAGATAGGTGTTTAAAGAAATTATTTTTTTAATTATTACTAGACCTTGAACAATGATAAGAATAGCTGTTTCCATAATTCAAGAAAATACTATTAGGAGTCTTTATATCTGACATTTATATTATTTATGAAATTATAGCTAAAAAAATAAGTTTTATACTTAGGATCACTCAACTAGTAAGGAAAACCAGAATTTAGTTTCAGGGTTTGGCTTCATTTAAATCCCCAAACTGTTAAGTGAAATTTTATTCTGCATGTAATTAAGGATATGAGTCTTAGCTCACCATATGCTAGAGGCTACAAAAAGCTTGTGGACAATGGAATTAAAAGAGAATGGAACTTTTCCATGAACTTTTATGTTGGAAATAAAAATCACCATATTAAAGAGAGATCTGGCGGCTCCGAGTGTTGCTGATGTCACAGGGAGGTGGCCTGGCGTCCCGGCGGTGTCCTGCGCCGAGCCGGCCGGAGTCAAGCAGAGCCAAACAGACAGCGCACCTCTGCCAATCCTCTGAGTTCCATGCCACGTGCAGACCCGGCATGGAGCAAGAGTGCCAAGTGCTCTCCTTCCAGAGCCACGTCATCCGCGGCTACGTGGGCAACCACACCGCCACCTTCCCACTGCAGGTGCTGGGATTTGAAATTGACGCCATTAACTCTGCAGTTTTCGAACCACACAGGCTACACCCACTGGAAGCGCCAAGTGCTGAACTCCGGCGAGCTGCACGAGGTGTACGAAGGCCTGCAAGCTGAACAATGTGAACAAATATGACTAACGTGCTCACGGGTTACACACGGCATGCATCCTTCCTGGCTATGGTGGTGGACAATGTACAGGAACTGAAGCAGCAGAACTCCAGCCTTGTGTATGTGTGTGACCTGGTGATGGGGGACAAGTGGAATGGTGAAGGTTCACTGTATGTTCCAGAAGATCTCCTTCCAGTTTACAAGTGATGCCCATTGCAGACATTATAACTCCCAACCAGTTTGAAGGTGAATTACTGAGCGGCAGAAAGATCCACAGTCAAGAAGAATCTCTGGCGGTAATGGACGTGCTGTACTCCATGGGCCCCAACACCGTGGTCATCTCCAGCTCTGATCTACCATCCCCAAAGAGCAACGACTACCTGATTGCACTGGGCAGCCAGAGGACAAGGTGGCTTGATGGCTCCATTACAACAGCGGATCCGGATGGAGATGCACAAGGCGGATATGCTGTCTTTGTGGGCATGAGGGACCTCTTTGCCGCCATGCTCCTAGCTTGGACTCACAAGCATCCCAATAATCTTAAGGTGGCATGTCATAAGACTGTGTCTGCCATGCATCATGTCCTGCAGAGGACCATCCAGTGCGCAAAAGCCCAGCTGGAGCTCAGGAATCTTAATCATCCTCCTGTGAAAATGTTAATGTCTGCCCTAGAGCCATCCTTCCTTGGGTGTCCAGCCTCCACTCTTCTGAATTGTTGAAAATGTGCTGGCCGTATTTTTTTAAAACAAGGTGATCACAGAAGGTTGTAATTTACAAACCTAGCTCTCCTGCCTTCCAAAGGCTCCCAGGCCTTCCTGGGTAACCAGATCCAGTTTATAGCCTTTGGAGGCATTTTGCCACCTGGGCTTCTCTTGAGGTACATGTAAGGACATAACCCATGTCCTGAATGTGTGTGGGCCTGAGAGCACATCTGAGAATGCACTGGGTTTTAATGGACCTATCAACATTTATTATTGGAAGAATTAAGCTAAATAACTCATTCTAATTTTGCCCTCTAAAAAAATACCACATTAAAGAGAATATAGTTGTCCTTCTGTGTGTTTTGTATCTGCAGTCTCAATCAGGGGTGAGGGAGATGAAGAAATGGGGAAGCAATTTAGTGGTCAAAACAGTCCCTGAAAGACTAAGAAGGAGCATAAAATACTATTGACGTTGTATTAGGTATTATACATAATCTAAAGAAATGCTTTACAGGGTCATTATGAGTCTGAACCAACTCGACAGCACTTAACAACAACAAAAGATGATTGATTTAAAGTATACAGCAGGTTATGTGTAGGTTATATGTTAATACTATTCCACTTTATATAAGGGACTTGAGCATCCATGGATATTAGCATCAGGTGGGAGGGTTCTAGAACCAACCCCTTCCGGATAACAATGAACAACTGCATTTCTGTACTTAGTAGTTTGAGAGTATTTCTAGCTTGCATAGCATAACATTTCTAGTTTATATAAAACATGAGTAATAAATAACATCTTCCATTCATTTTTTCCTTCCACAGAGGATAAAGCTCCTCCTTCTTCCCTTTTAGTTCATAAACTTATTTTCCAGTACATTGAGGAACAGGAATCCTGGAAGAAGAAATGTACAACACAGCATCAGGTTCCCAAGGTAAAGTCAAATTGAGGTATTTAAAGGGAAACATACATTCTCTATCCCAAAATGGAGCTCTGGTAGCATAGTGGTTACGAATCGGGCTGTGAACCGCAAGGTCAGCAGTTCGAAACTACCAGCTGTTTCGCGGGAGAAACATGAAGCTTTCTGCTTCTGTAAAGATTTACAGCCTTGGAAACCATGTACAAGGTTACTGAGTTGGAACCGACTCCATGGCACATAACAACAATAACAGTCCCAAAATGCACTGGACTGCTAACTACAAGGTCAGTGGTTCAAACCCACCAGCAGCTATTAGGAAACCCTATACAGGGTCACTGAGTCAGAACCAACTCAGCAGCAGTAAACAACGATCCCAAAAAGCAGAACTGAGATTTTATATATGAAATAATGGGTCCTTAAATGGTAAATATATTCAATTACTTAATTTTCTCTAGGTTCTTTATTGTAAAAGAATCACCAAGCAATGAAATGTTTCCATGATTCTTTTTTTCTATTTTTCCCAGATGCTTCAAGAAATATCATTGATAGTGAGCCATTGCAGGCTCCTTGGAGAGGAGATTGAATTCTTAAAGAGATGGGGACCAAATTATAACCTCTTGAACATAGATATAAATAATACCGAGTATGTAATTATTCCAAAACTTATTAAAGTATTTATTTTACTAACATGTTTCATGCCACTGTATAAGGGAAACTTGTGTGTTAGTCTATTTTTGTTTTATGTTTTAATTAAGGATCTTGTCTTTTGCAGATTGAGACTTTTATTCTCCAGCTCTGCAGCATTTGCTAAGTTTGAGATAATTTTGCCTCTCTCAGCCCATTATCCATCTGTCCTATTACCTTTCTCTATTCAAAATCACCTTGGGAACATTGGGTAAGTAAAATGCCAGTGTGATAAGGTTCCCAACTACTTTTTCATCTTTTTTGTTTGATTTGGAAGATTCCTTAAAGTGGTCAGCAAATAGATGGACCATAGGAACAGCTAAATGCTAAATGTCACTTCTGACTTTAGTTTGGAAGAATTTCTTCTTTGAAAGTCAATGACCTCCATTACTATCTCCAGTGGATACTAGAGACCACTGGTCTATTCTTTAATACCTGCTCCATATTTTAAAAAATGAGCTCTGGTAGTGTAGTGGTTACGAATCGGGCTGCTAATCTCAGGGTCAGCAATTCAAAACTACCAGCTGTTCCGTGGGAAAAAGATAAGACTTTCTGCTCCCGTAAAGATTTATAGCCTCGGAAACCCTGTACAGGATCGCTGTGAGTCGGAACCAACTCCACAGCACATAACCACCACCACCACCGTATTTTAAAATACTCCTGCCTAGAGCAGACATGAAGAAAGAAGTCCTACATAAGCTTAGGCCAGATCACATCTAAACAACATGTTTGGCCCTAAAAACAGAAAAATCACCTTAAACATTGTGTAATTATAATACTTTTCTGAGTTTGTAGAACTAGACCCAAAAATGTGATATATTTGTAGTCTGTTTAGCCCACTAAGTTTGGAAGATAGCAGAATCTGCCCCACTTGAATCCATCAGCAATCTAGATTTTTAGAACCAGAGAAAGCAGCTGGGTTAAAATACTCATGGTTATATACAGAACTCCTAAAGCCTTGTTTTTTGAATCCCATTTCAAACTGGACAGTCTGGTTATTTCCAGAAAAGCCCATTTGTTTGTATTTCCTAGGAAACTGAGAAACTACCCAAGAAAATGAATTCCATCAAATTGGAGACAAATTTAAGTTACCAGAAAAATTAACTCATCTTTTTTCTTACCAGCCAAGATGACATTGCTGCCATTTTATCTAATGTGCCACAAGAGGACAACTATCTGAAGAATGTAGTCAAGCAAATTTACCAAGACCTGCTTCAAGACTGTCATTTCTAACAACAAATCCTTAAACTACAACTGTAACAACCAAGTAGAATGCATTTAATAATAATGGTATGTCAGGACCTCCATTGCCATTTTTTAGCCTTTGGACTTTTGATCTTAGCAGTCTCGTAAAACTCCTTCTAGTGATGTTATAGTTCATTTGTACAATTAATTTAAAAATCTCCAGAGTCGGGAATGATGAGAGGCCTCAAATAGATTGCTACCAATCAATTTGCTTAACTTTCTACCAAAGTTTTTAGTAGTAGGATACTGAGGGAAAGTTTTTCTAATTAAAGTTTCTTCTAACGTTACCTCTGTGCTAAAGAACAACTAAAGAGCAACTTTTATATATATAGGGTAGGGTGGGTGGGGTAATTACCACTGACCAAAAATTAACTGTTTCCCCATTAAAAAATTATGATTTAAAGTAACTTGACTTTTGCTTGATTATAATGACTTATCTGTGTACAAACTATTCAGATATGTTTTTCACCACTCCAGAATGCTGTATTAAGTGAAAGTAATGACACTCAGTGGAATGGTTGCCATCTTTTTTTTTGAGGGCCTTGCCATCTTTTATTCTAAGTGTATAGTGTTTCATAATTATTAAGTGTATATTGTTTTAGGGAAAGTTAATTCATTTTGGTCCAGTGTATATATGTAAATATATTCATGTGTTTTTCATTGTCTGTTATATAGTAATTACACTTCAAACTAAATCATATTCAGAATCCCAGTTGTCAGGTTCTATAGTAATAACATTATTATTAGTATCAATTCTTAAAACCATACCTTCTTCATACACAATAAGTACATCCATTGCTTGTTGAGTGACCAATATTACCTGTGGAGTATGCAAATATGAAGCTTTCACCCAACCTTTAGTAAAATCCTAATTATGATGTTTTTTCTAGTTGCTTTTATATGAAATTCTAAGCTAACATATGTTTTTATTTCTTAACTAATTTTCTTAAGAATTCCTTATAGACTTTAGGTTCAGGTCAATTTCCTATGAGTTCCATTGAATGTTATCATCTCTCTTGATTGGCTTTTGAGAGAGGTCAGAAGATCATATGATCATTTCAACTTTGTGTTCCCTGTTTGTTATGAACTCTTTGAATTATTTTTAAAGTCATCAATAGCTTTCTTATTGTAGTTACTATATTTCTTTTCTGTAAGCCTAAAAAGTAGAGGTTTGGGTACTCTGGAATGTTTGCAGTACATAATTGTAATATTTACTATTTGCATTTGTATTTGTTCAAAGTATCAGTTTCATAAAAGTATTTCAAAGTTTTTCCTTCAATGATTGGAAAGCAGATAATTTTTTGCACTATTAAAGTAAGTTTATTTACATGAAATCTTCAGTAAGCAGTATCTCTTTATGAAATGAAGAACATTTTTATTCTGTACCCAACTGACCTTTTGACATATACCAAAGAAGCCTCCTTTTAGAAATACCTATTTGAAAACTGAGATAAAATTAACACTACTTAAGAATTAGAACCAGATACAAATCAGAGACACTAAAGGACAGTTTAAAAAAAAACTATTTTGATTTTTCTCAAGAAAATGTCATTTCTATAAGTTAAGGCTAGCAGCCTCACTCAGCTTCATGTGAGAACATGTAGAAATGGAAATTCTGTGGCCTCAACCCAAACCTACTGAATCAGAAATTCTGGGAAAGGGACCAGCATTTTATGTACTTTTTTTGTTTTTTCACTTCAAAAAGAAAAAAAAGTGCTTTATTGAGATATAGTTTGCATATTCATTCATTCAAAGTGTACAATTCAGTGTTTTTAGCATATTCTTAGATATGTACAACTATCACCACAGACAATTTTAGAACATTTTCATCACTTCACAAAGAAAGCTATATGTAACCTTTAGAAAACAGCCTCCTCAACCCACCATCTCCCCTTTTCCCTAAATCAACCATTAATCTACTTTCTTTAGATTTGCCTGTTCATATAAATAAAATCATGTGTGGTCTGTCTTCTCTCATTTTGCATAATATGCATATTTTAAGGTTCATCCTTGTTGTAGCATTTACCAAGATTTTATTCTTATTTTATGGCCAAATAGTTCATTATATGAATAATACATTTTGAGGAGTATCCAACTTCAAAATGCTTCCTGTTTAACTTATGGTAAACTCCATTTCTGATTTGATGATTGTGTCCATTTCTGGCTGCTATGAATAAGGCTGCTATAATATATAAATATTGTGTATAAATTTTTATATACAGTAGACATAAGTTTTCATTTATCTTAGTTAGATATTAGGAGTGAATTTGCTAGATCATAGAACTTTTGGTGTGGTCCTATAAGATAAACACTGGACTAAAAGGTCTGAATGGTAAGGATGGCGATTCAAACTCACCAGCCACTCATTGGAAACCCTATCCAGGTTTGCTGAGTTGGAACCGACTTAACAGCAGTGGTAACTTTATATTCCTATCTGTAGTACATGAGGATTCTAATTCTCTACTTTATCACCACCACTTGTATTAGCTATATGATTGTAGCCATCTATTGTATATGAAGTAGTATCTCACTAAGGTGTTTTCTGTTTTTGTTTTGCTTAATTTTATTTATTTTTTTGTTAATGAGATTTTGATTTGTATTCCCCTGGTGTGGTGCTATAGATAAATACTGGACTGCAAGATCAGTTTGGATTGCAAGGTCAGTTGTTCAAATCTACCAACCGCTCCTCAGAAACCTTATACAGGGTTGCTATCAGTTGGAACCGACTGTATGGCACTAAAACAAATGACTAACAATGTTGAGTGCCTTTTCATATGCTTGTTAGCTATTTATATATCATCTTTGGAAAAATACATTTTTCAAGCCCATTTTTCATTGGATTTTATTATTGTGTTCTTATAAAGTCTAAATGCAGATTCTTGATTAGATATAAGATTTACAGGTATTTTTTCCCATTCTGTAGTTTTGGGGGTTTATCCTTCACTTTCCTGATGGTGTGCTTGGAGAACAAAAGTTTCAAATTTTGATAAACTTTATTTTTGTTATTGTTCATACTTCTGATGTCATATCTAAGACTCCATTGCCAAACCCAAGATCAAGATTTACTTCTATGTTTTCTTTGGGGAATTTTATAGTTTTAGCTCTTAAATTTGGGTCACAAACTTGAAAATCCGATGGAATCCAGTTCTGTTCACATTTGGGATCATCATGGTTTTGTGAGGTGTTATTGTTAAGTCATACTTATATCTTTGTACCTGCCCTTCTTTCTTTAGGTTTATTTTGCTATTTTTCTAACTCCTTGTGATGGTAGATATATAGCTGATTTTTTTTTTTTTAATAGCTGATTATTTTTTGGTCTTCTTTTCTAATGAATAGTTGTTAAGTGCTGTCAAGTCGGTTCCAATAGCTGACCCTGTATAAGGTCTGGTGTGGCGCTGTGGGTTAATGTGCCAGTCTGCAAAGCCGTTTGAACTGCAAGGTCGGCAGTTCAAGGTCACCAGCTACTCCTTGGAAACCCTACACAGGGTCGCTATGGGTCGGAACTGACTCAATGGCACTTAACAACATAAGGTTTCCAAGGAGCAGTTGACAAGCTTGAACCGTCAACCTTGTAGTTCAAACCAATCTTGCAGTCCAACCTGCAGCAGCACACCAGGATTCCAATGAGTATGTACAACTTACTTAATGTTTCTCTTTTATATTTTTGTTATCATTCATTTCTTCTAATGGGAGAAACATGCTATTTTAAAAATATGTTGGTCTTTTGTTTAATAAGATAAATGGAAGGTGTGATAATTAGGGTTTTGTGTCATCTTGGCTGTGCCTGAATTCTCAGTGGTTTGACTGTTAAGAATTAATAATCCCCCATGATAAGGCTAATAATGAAATCACCCACAGGATGTGATCAGTCCTGGTCTGATGTAATTATCCTGTGTTGTCAGTTCTTACTTCTATGATGTTAATGAGGCTGGATGCAATCTACAGGATAGATTATTATATCTTGAGTTAATCTCTAGATAAGACAGCAGAGAAAGAGGGACCCACTGCTACCAAAAATTAAGAGCTAGGATTGGAGTGTGTCCTTTACATGTGGGGTCCTTGTGCTGTGAAGCTTCTAGATCCAGGGAATGATTGATGTCAAGACACATTGAGATCTCCAGGAATGCTGTGACTACAGATGCTGAAAGGAAACAAGGACCTTTAACCAGAACTGGTACTCTGAATTCAGACTTCTAACCTTCTAAACTGAGAGAATCAATTTCTGTTTGTTAAAGTCATCCACTTGTGGTATTATTATTGTAGCAGCACTAGATAACTAAGACAGGATGTTATTACATTTGTTTGGAACATGACATCATAACAGCTCCCAAGGCTCCAGATCAGACTTGGAGAACAGGAATTTTGAAGTTGGATCCCACAAATGAAGGATATCTAGGAGTCAACAAAATGAAAACAAAAATCCTTACCACTGGATTGATAAACATCATGATAAATGAAGAAGAGGTCGAAATTGTTAACCATTTCATTCTAGCCATGGAAGCAGCAGTCAAGAAATCAAATAATAAATTGCACTGGGGCAAATGTGCTGCAAAAGATCTTTCTGAAGTTTTACAAAGCGAAGCTGTCACTTTGAAAATTACCTGACCAAAGCCATAGTATTTTCAACCACCCTTTATGCATATAAAAGCAGGACAATGAAAAAAGATGACTGAAGTAAAGTTGGTACATTTTAATTAGGGTATTGGTGAATAATATTGAATTTACCATTCACTGCCACCAACTGAGGCATGGCTAATAAAATGTGGTGTTGGCCTCCAGGGCAAGATGGTGGGGTAGGCAGATATACTGAACAGACTCCCTTCAAGAACATAGACCACTAAGTGAACTAGGTATAGATGGTGATTCTAGAACTCTTGAGTTTCAAAGGAAAGGACAGAGGTGGATTGAGTGCCAACTGGGAGAGAAAGCTGAGCAGAGGGGGTAGCAAGATTGGAGAGAGACAGATGAGCTGTCAGCTGGTCTAGCAC